AGAGAACATGGGAGGCAGAAACCCTAACACTGGAAGTTAGAAAAATCCCAGCAGAACTACAAACTGGTAATTAATGAAGGCCGAAGGAGGACAGAGGGGAAATAAACATGACTGTAACTTAAGAACACAAAAACATATAGAACTTAATAATGGGCTAAATTTAAGTAGAGAAGGGAAAAACCATACAAGAATTTTGCAGCAGGGAAATTAAAAGAGTTAGGACAAAAGCAAGAAGATGTACAGAAAAGTGGGCTGAGGGAGTTAGGAGAAAGAGAAGGGGAGAAGAGGAAGGAAGAGGACATGAAGGAACAGGAAGATTTAGTCAGGGGAAGAATAGAGGAGAGCAAGAAAAGAGATAACAGAGTAGAGGGAGCCATTATAGGTTTAAAGAGAAATCTGGCACTAGGGAAATGTCCAGAGATCTACAAGGATGATACCAACTAAGAATATAAGCAATAGTGGAGAGGCTACCTTAAATGCTCTTTTCCGATAATGAGATTGATGACTACCTTAAATGCCATTCTAGAGCCTTTATCCAGTAGCTGATGGAAGCAGAAATAGATACCCACAGCTAAACACTGAGCTGAACTCCTGGAATCCAGTTGCAGAGAGGGAGAAGTGATGAGCAAAGGGGTTAAGACCAGGCTGGCAGAACCCACAGAAACAGCTGACCTGAACAAGGGGAAGCCCATGGACCCCAGACTGATAGCTAAGAAATTAGCATGGGACTGTTTCAGATCTCCTGAGCAAGGATGTCAGTTAGGAGGCTTGGGCAATCTATGGGGCCTCTGGCAGTAGATCAGTATTTATCCCTAGTATATGAATGGACTTTGGGAGCCCATTCCACATAGAGGGATACTGTCTCAGCCTAGCCACACCGGGAAGGGCCTAGGCCCTGCTCCAAATGATTTGACAGACTTTGAAGATCCCCTATGGAAGTCCTCACCCTCCCTGAGGAGCAGAAAGGGGATGGGATTAGGAGTTTGGGGGGGGGGGGGCAAGGGAGAAGGGGTGGAAGAGGGAACTGGGATTGACATGTAAAACAAGCTTGTTTCTAATTTAAATAAAAAAGGGAAGAAAAGAAAAGTGGGCTGAGTTGCAGAAAGAAAATTCTACTTGCAGAAAGAAAATTCTAGCTGCGATGACTACAATACACTTACATCCAGAACTTAAAAAATCCAGCTAATTTAATTTCAGCATGCATATTTTTATGTCATTGCAAAAGTAGTATTATTTTAAACTATACATGTATGAGAAAAGTTGTATTATAGTCTTTGAAAAGGCTTGGGTATCCCTGAAGGTTCAAACCTACCCTGCAAAGTCAACAACGGGAAGGTGCCTTTACCAAGTCCAAGATCCCAGGAAGAGAAGGAGCAGGCAGCCACAGGTGTCTGAGTAGAAGGGCACTTCACAAGGAGCAGAGATAAAGAACAACTTTGCCTCCACAGATAGAAACCAGGTATTTCCACCTTGTATGAAAAGATGAAACACTCTACAAGGAAGTACCCTGGAAAGTCACGGCTAGCCCTGAAGGCTGTGGCAGTTCAGGCTTAGTGGAACATACATGCAGGCCTAAGGCTTTCACATTTCACTTATCAGCCAATCTGGCAAACTTTAACTCCTAAAAGGAATATGTAACAATCTGTAACTTCATCTCCACCACCAGCACATTTAGTATGTCTTCTGTCAGTTTTTATGTGTTATTTCTTCCTGATTTCCTAATGATATAAGACTTTCCTACTATTCCCTTCCCCGACAAAATTTACCATTTTGACACCTACCTGAAACTTCCAACATCATTTATAGAAATCTTATTTACCAAATCCTCTCTGTTTATTAAATTTAGTGAAACTCTGGGGGCACATGAGAGAGAAGACCCCTAAACCAATGTATCAGAGACAGATGTCTCCAACAGTGTGAGGACTGGAGGATTTCATAGCAGATTCCTCAAAGATTTTAAAGGCTGATAGTTTTAAAGCTATTCAAACTTCAGCTTGTAAAAATGGAACCAAGCCAAGTAATTTTATAAAGAAAAAAAAACTATTTAAAAGCAAATGCAACATTCTTGCTGGAGTGTCAGTCAATAATAAAATCTTTTAATGCCACCAACAAACAAGAATGCCCTCAGAAGCACCCGGATGCTTCTGTCAACTTCTCAGAGTTCTCGAAGAAGTGCTCAGAAAGGTGTTAGACCATATCTGCTAAAGAAAAGGGGAAATTTGAAGACATGGCAAAGGCTGACAAGGCTAGTTATGACAGAGAAATGAAAACCTACATCCCACCCAAGGGGAGACCAAAAAGAAGTTCAAGGACCCCAATGTACCCAAGAGGCATCCTTTGGCCTTCTTCTTGTTCTGTTCTGAGTATCGCCCAAAAAGCAAAGGTGAACACCCTGGCTTGTCCATTGGTGATGTTGCAAAGAGATTGGGACAGAGGTGGAACAACACTGCTGCAGAGGACAAGCAGCCCTATGAAAAGAAGGCTGTCAAGCTGAAGGAGAAGCACGAAAAGATATTGCTGGTTACAAAGCTAAAGGAAAACCCAATGCAGGGGAAAAGGGGTGGTCAAGGCAGAAAGGAACAAGGAAAAGAAGGAAGAGGAAGATGATGAGGAGGATGAAGAGGATGAGGAAGAGGAGGAAGAGGAAGAAGATGAAGATGAAGACGATGAATGAATAAGTTGGTTCTAGCGCAGTTTTTTTTTTTTATAAAGCATTTAACTCCCCTGTACACAACTCACTCCTTTTAAAGAAAAAAAATTGAAATGTAAGGCTGTGTAAGATTTGTTTTTAAACTGTACAGTGTCTTTTTTTGTATAGTTAACACACTACTGAATGTGTCTTTAGATAGCCCTGTCCTGGTGGTATTTTCAGTAGCCACTAACCTTGCCTGGTACAGTCTGGGAGTTGTAAATTGCCGTGGAAATTTAAAGCAGGTTCTTGTTGGTACACAGCACAAATTAGTTATATATGGGGATGGTAGTTTTTGTTTGTTTGTTTTAGGTTTTCTTTTTCATCTTTAGTTGTCTCTGATGCAGCTTATACGAAGACAATTGTTCTGTTAACTGAATACCACTTTGTAATTGCAAAAAAAAAATTGCAGCTGTAATTATAATTTATTAAAAAAAGTGCCAGCAATAATTCAACAGCATGCTGTTTTCTGCAGAAACTGGCTGCATTGCTCAGTTCCAGGAAGGAGCAGAGAAACCCAGCCCTTTAGACACTTTTCCATGTAGACCTCTAGAATTTATTCTTTATATTGACTACCCATAACTGTTCTCCTCTAATTAATGTAATGAATCACACTGACTTTCTTCAATGCTTAAAGCAATCTCACATCCTTAGAGAGAGAAATTTATCAGTCTTCCAATAATTACATATTTAACCTGACATGCTCTTTGGAATGCTGCGTCTTTTTAACTATTCTTTCATACCCATGTAGGCAGTATCAAGACTATGCTGGCCTTAAGAATAAATTTAAGTGTATTCTGTCTCCTCTACTTTGACTTACTTTTCCTAGAACTTCACACTAAGATCATTCTTTTCTCTGAGTTTCTTTGTTCCTTTGCTCAGCAGATCCCTGCCTCACAGCTCCTCCTTTCAGTCTCTTGTCTCAACAGCCCCAATACCCCAGCCTTAGGATGCCCAGAAGCCAAGGCACCCCACATAGCTGCTGCTCCAGGTAGAGAGTTCAGACACAAGAGGAAAATGAAAGGTTTCGATACTGGCAAACTGGTACTTGCCCCTTTGCTTCTCTTACTACTTTTGCTATTTTCTCTTTGATTTTGGTTTTCTGCAGTTGTATTATGACTCACCTGAGCATGCTTTTGTTTCAATGTCATTCTGCTTTAGGCTTAAAGTACTTCCTGACCTGCATTTTAAAAGTTCTGTGACAAGTAGTTTTGAGTTATTTGCTACTGTAGGAAGAAGTGATCCTATAAGGCAGCCCTGGTGTCCCTGTATACTCTTACTGATTGTAAGACTGAAATGCCACTAATGCTCTTTCAGACTGCAACCACCTTGGCATAAGCAGTGCTTGAGATATTTCAAAGTTTGGATTCATTTCTAACCTTACAAAGTGCTTTGGGGTTTCACTTAAACACAACTGTCTTATCAGCTGTTCCCTCACCTCTTGCAAACTTGGCAGATGTAAAGACCTGCTTCTACTTCTTTGATAGTAAGTCCTGGTCACCTTCTTATCCCCTTTCTCAGAATCAGCACATGACCCTCCAGGGAAAAATGACTCATAATGCCAGGCTTACCTCTCTACCTCATTTATAATCTGAGTTATTCAGGATGTCTCTTATATTCTGTCAAGTTTGACTTCATTTTTTAGAGTGTTAATTTATGTTACCAAACATTACCAAAAGCTGAGCAAGTCCAAAATTAGATTTAACATGTTCAATATTTAAGAGCTTTATCACTTGTTTTTCCCCTTCTCTCCACTAAGATCTAGACACACACAATGTTTGTTTTTAAAATATGTTATTATATCAGTATTTTTAAGTAAAAGGAAAAGATAACACTTCACTCAACTTCTGAAATACGATCACAAAATGTTATGTGCATAAAATATGTTGATGTTGTCTCAAGTAATATAAAAAAACAGTAACAAAGACACCTAAAACCTAAGTTAGCTGGAAATGTGGCTCTGTTGGTGGAGTACTTAGGTTTACTCCAGCACCTCAAAGACCAGGCACAGTAGCTCACATCTATAATCTAACACCCAGGAGGGAGGTAGAGGCAGAAAAATCACAAGTTCAAGGCCAGGCTGGGTTACACGAGACACTGATTCAAAACATAAAGTTCTAATCATTACCCCTGTCTAGTTACCTCTACTTGTCAATGTTATCTAGAAATCCAGTATAATTTATAGACTTATGTTTTTAAAAACTCTGAATATAAAAAAGCATTTTTTCTCCCTTGTATTCTTTCTTCTTGAGAAAATTAAATGCTATGAAGACCAAAATTTTAGTTTTGAGAACAAGAGAGAAATACGTACAGTGAAAGACACGGAAGTCAATATATGGATGGGAACCTCTTCTTTCTGGTTCAAATCCTGCTCGGCTCCTTACCCGTACATCTCCTGGACAGAGTCAAGAACAAATGTAAGTTTAGAAAGCTGTTTCCCAAGTGCAAACAGGCCCATGTGGGATCCAACTCCCGCTAGGGGACGCCAGCAAGGAAGGTGACGGGTCAGTACAGTGACATAAGTGAATATGCTACGACAAAACCCATGACTGTATGCTAAAGAACAAACCAAATAAAATAAACTGTATGAGTGGTTAAGAACTGATTTATTTGGAGGAATTAATAAAATTTCAGTATTGAGTTGTAAGGCTGGGTTAGGAAACTTCTAAACACTTCATTCTAAACCCTTAATAATTATGTATTTTAAAGGTCACTTTATTACTCTGATGGGGTTGAACCAATAACCATAAAAATCCAGCGGGAAACAAAATCTGTTTCACAGAAGAAAATCCTAGAACAAAACCTTAAAAACCCACAGCAAGAGGCAGGCATCCACCATGCCTGCTCTGCCTATCCCGGCACACTGGCTGATCACAGAGAGGATAGACACAGGAAACATGATTACTCTCACGAAGCCTGCAAGTCCAGTGTGTGAACTCCCATTGGACTATGTGCAATTTGGAAATCTCTCTTCTCACCCAAGGTTTTAGCAAGTTCTGAAACTTTTGTTTTTATCTGTTTGATGCTGTTCTTACATAAACCCACATGATTTTCAGATAATTTAGCAACCAATTACTAGGCACTCTTTGTATCACAGGCATTGTTAAATTCTGCAATCAAACCTAAGTAAGAAGAACCTTAGTTCCCATTCTGTGGATATGGAAATTGGGCTTTGGTAGATCAAACTGCATTTCCATGCCTCGAGATGGTGCAAATGACAAGCAATACTTAAACCCACAGTTCCAAAAGCAACCCTTTCCTGTTAATGCTGTCACAGAGACCAAGTTCGTAACAGAGAAAGGCCTCCTAAGAGTTCCAGCCCCCGATGTGCTCCTGAAACTCTGACTTGCTCGAGGACCTTCCTTCATCAACTGTGACTCCATCTTTATCCACCAAGGCCTCTTTTAGGCAGTGACTCCTCGGTATGACAAAGGTTTGCCGAGTACCTGTCAGTCCCGTCACACACCAGGGCACAAAGTTTCCCTTCCAGGGGATGGAGAAACAGACAAATACATAACTCCTGTCTGTGGTGGAGGGTTAGAACGCATAAAGTAAGTTAAGAGGAATGGGGATAGAGGGATGGGATAGTGTCATACAGGGAGGGACCTGTGGCAAGTGAGACAGTGAGCCATAAGGCTATCAGAGGAAAGAGGTTTCCAAGGACAAGGAAGAGCAAGCACGACCAGTCTACACCAGGAGCACACTTGGAATGTGCACAGACAAGTAAAAAGGCCGGCATGGCAGGGGTACGGGGAAAGGGAACTTGGGAAAAGTGGGGCCAAAGAGGCATCAGGCTGAACACTGGACACTGGAACGCTTTGGCTGTTACTCTAAGGTCCAAAGTCTTCAGAGTACTCTGAAGACACAGTTAAGAGGACTTAAGATGACTTTATTTATGTACGAGAAAGGTTCACCTTGGCTGTGTAGACCACAGTTCGGGAAGACCAATTGAGAAACAAGTACAGGAAGCAAGGTGATAACCATGGTTTAGATTGGGTGGTAACGTGTTCAGGATGCTGCGGTGCTAGCTCTTTTGAAGGTACTGACAAACAGGATTTGTCAATGAACTAGACATAGAGTAAGAAACGGGAGTCAAGATCAACTGCATTTTAGGAGAATGAAGTTATATCTATTAAGACAGCAAGACTACAGATGTGGAGAACAAATCTTCGCAGCCCTGTTAAAAGTTTGAGGTATCCATCATATACCCACCAGGCTGCACAGAAATAGAGTAAATATGTCTAGAGCTTTGTTTTAGGGCTAAAAGAACCACTAACATCTTTTTTAAGAGTCAGGGGAAGAGGAAATGAGGAGCAAACACCTGCTGTAGTAGAACAGAATGGAAGAGGGTAAGACACACAAGATAAAGAAAAGCAAAGAAGAAGTAGTAAGAGTGAAAACAGGACTTCGGGATACATTTGGGCTTTTATAAAAAGAGTCAGTGAAGGAACCAAAGGAGAGACCACAGGTAGATAAACTGCAAGGATTGGCTCAGTATCTCAAGCCAAAGGAGGAATTCTAAACATGAGGAGAAAAGCTAGGAGCAACACGTCAAATATGAGCACGTACTTCTTTATTTAGCAGCTCTAGAAACCTATTTTCCACAAAAAATACTCTAAAACAGTTAAGAGCTGTATACTAAAAATATTGTCCTATTAAACCAGAATTTTAAATTGTCTTTTAATTGTAAAATGCCTCTATTTATTCATCACATTCAGTACTAGTTTTCAGATACTAAATTTCAATTTCTGCTACAAAAAGTGATGAAAAGGCTACTTAATGAAAGATACCTCATCCCAAATAATATGAATACAAAATCAACTGATAGTAATATAAAATTGTGCTTACCTAGCATACGAATATATAACGCAGTCTGATCAGAACTGTCATAGGAAATAGCTCCACGTCTCTGGAAAAAAAGCATACATGTTAGTACATGATAATGAAATATCTAAAATTTCATTCAGTAAACATGCATTTATTATTTATCACATATTATTTGCAAAGCATTGTGCAAAAAAGTTTGAGTATACGAGATCTGCGTTGGAAATATCTGGAGAGAGGAAAGACAGACAAACTACAACAGGGCTAAGAACCACCACAAGAGCAACTTGAGACTAACACAAAGTTGATTTCTTTTGAGGGTGTGGGATCCTGAGGATGGAGCTCAGAGACTTTGGCTAGGAAAGCAACTCTGTATTCATAGTCCTGTAGAAGTTGGTTTCTTAAAACAAAACAAAATAAACAAATCAGAGCTACCCAATAGGAGAGAGAGGGGAAAGGGCAATCTGTGGCATTCCAGGTGTATGTCCAAGCACCAGGTCTTCATATACTAGGAGAGTGAATATTTCAGGACCCACTCACAAGTCCTCCAATGGCTTCCCACTGCCCTGGAAATGAGTTCCAAGCCCACGTTCTAGGGTGCACGGCCTCCATGATCTGCTCTCCATGTTCTTGTCCTACCACAACCCTCACCACTGACACAGTCATGCTGCCCTTACTTCTCTCACCACGCCCAATGTCTGCCTTCACATTGTTGCTCTCCTGCTAGCCTGAATGCTCTGCCATTCCTATGTTTCTGATCTCCTAGGCCTGGATGAATATTCTTGGGCATACCCTGGCTACCAAAGCTGCAGCCATCTGAGAACTGTCTCTCCTGCCATGACCCATAGCACTGGCTTCATTTGCCTTTAAAGCAACACATTTTATTGACCACTTTTAAGAAAAATTAAAACACAAGCAAAAACAACACAACAGCTGGTCATGGTGGCATACACCTTAAATCCCAGCACTCAGGAATCAGAGCAGCTCAACTTCCATGCAGCACTTGGCTACTGTTATCCTAATTGCTGTGTATTAAAATAGAAATTCCCCAGGAGCTGGAACCTTATCTGTACCATTCACCACTATATCCTGTCCTCTAAAATAGGACCTATCGCTTAGCAAACAAACAAGTAAATAATACTTGATCAACAAATGCACTTGTTGCAAATAAAACTTATGAACTGAGGAATAAACAGTTATTGACAGAATTGATATAAATTAATATACTTCAAAATGTGGATGATACAACTGACGAGACCTCTGATCAGCATCTAAGTTCTGTGCCAGCAAACATCTAAATCATCACTGGCTGCCCAGATCCAGACCAAAGCCAACATTCAGAACAGCACCTGGCACACCAAAAATCGAGGAGTTGGTGAGATGGCTCAGCAGGTAAAGATGCTTGCTATCAAGGATGCCAGCCTGAGTTCAATCCCTAGACTCACATCTCGGGAAGAGAACATGATTCCTGCAAGTTGTCCTTTGACCCCTACAGGCATGCTGCAGCATGTGAGTGCACGTGCGCATACACATACTAACACACACACACACACACACACACACACACACACACACAAATAGAAAAGACAGCTGCTCAACTCATGACAAAAGTGTACACTGAAGTCATGTGATCAAAGTTCTACTCATTAGATTAATGACCTAGCCAACCAAACTCTGGCTGAGATTTATAGGCACTTAACATGTATGTATCTACACATCTCTGGGAGGCAAGAATACTGGCTTAAACATAATTATAAAAAGGTTTGCTTTAATTGATTATACAGAATTGATATGCAAAACCAATCCCCAAATATTATGGTGTGTGTGTGTGTGTGTGTGTGTGTGTGTGTGTGTGTAAGAGAGAGAGAGACTGTAGAGGCTGGAGGTCATCTCTAGTGCCTATCCTTCAGGCACCCTCCATCTTGTTTTGTGGAATAGTCTCTCACTTGGCCTAGAACTCACCAAGTAGGCTAGACTGACTGGCCAGAGAACCCTGGGGATCTGTGTGTCTGACTCCTCAGGGCTGGAATTACAAGCGTGCACCAACAAGCCTGGAGCTCAAGTGGTTCTGAGGACCCAACAGGTGGGTCCTCAGGCTTGACCACAAGCACTGTACCAGTTGGGTTCTCACCTCTGCCCCAAGTTATATTCTCAATGCTTACTTATCATTTCAAGAAAAACAAAACAGGCTAAAACCTTGTATAACTTAATCTTTTTTTAAAGTCCATGAAATGTAGAACAAACCTTTCAACCATAATTAAATCCTACCAATACTCATTGTCTCCAAGGATACTGAGGGACAGAGGCAGAATGGAACTTTTTAATGCAGAACTTTGTGCCTTTTAAATTTTACAGCATGCATAGTAATTACATTTCACAAAGTAAATAAAATGTGAAAATTATCTTAAATAACCTACAAAGAAAATATGATGGCAAATAGCAAGGAACTAATGCATACAGAACACACCCTTGACTCCACCAAAACAGTCTCTGAAAACAACTGCTGTTCCACATTGAGCTAGTCATTCTAAAGAAAAAGCTACCGCTATCACCTGATGCTAAGACACCACTCAGCTGGGATTACTGTCACCTCCACAGGCTTAGTTTACTAGGTTACTGGCCCTACTGGCAGGCTAATGGTAAGCCAAACACATGGAAAAGAGTTTATGAGGCAATAATATTTCTATTGGCTAAAACCTATAAATGAAACTTATAGACATCAATATGTACTAACTTGTCACAGCCATACCTATTAATCTGGTAGTGTCGATAACAACTTGGTGAAATAGTTAAAATGAAATCTGAAATGCTCTTCTCTACAAGTTCTCTACTAGGGGTGTTAGGCATTGTTACTGTTTTTACTGTATGGTGCATATCTACCAGCCACTTTTTTAAAAAATAAAATTTTATTTAAATTAAAAACAATCTTATTTTACATGCCAATCCCAGTTCCCTCTCCCTCTGTCCTCCTATACCCCCCCACCAGCCCTCACCCCACACTCCACCCACTCCCCTGAGAGGGTGAGGTCTCCCATTGGGGATCATCAAAGTCTGTCATATCATTTGGGGCAGGACCTAGGCCTTCCCCCATGTATCTAGGCTGAGAGAATATCCCTCCATGGGAAATGGGCTCCCAAAGCCCATTCATGCACTAGGGATAAACACTGGTTCCATTGCCAGAGGCTCCATAGATTGATTGACCAGGCCTCCCAACTGACACCCATGTTCAATCAGGGGGCCTGATTCAGTCCTATGCTGGTTCCCCAGCTGTCAGACTGGGGTCCATGAGCTCACGCTTGCTCAGGTCAGCTGCCAAACAGCCACTTTTAAAGGCAAAAGTCCCCTTGATTGCATAACATAAAGAGCAGCTAAAGACACATGTCAGCCCTGCAGGAAAACATGTTAAAGCTATGTAACAAACACAATCTGGTGTGCCGTTCACCCCCACACACTAATTGTACTGCAAGGTAAATATTTCAGACTCATGTACAGAGGCACTAGACATTAAAATGGCAGGGCAAATTTGGGCAAAAAGGGCAACTTTTAATGTATCTCAATTAAGTATACAATTTTTACTTAAGGCTAGTCTATAAATACTTAGCCGAAGAGAGCTATTCTGAATCCCAAGATACAGCACCTACTACATAAATCCAAATAAAACTAATTTTTAAAAATAATTTTTATTTCATTTGCATTGGTATTTTGCCTGCATGTGAGGGTGTCAGATCTTGGAGTTACAGACAGGCATGAGCTGCCATATGGGTGCTGGGAATTAAACTGGGGTCCTCTGGAAGAATAGCCAGTGCTCTTAACCGCTGAGCCATTTCTCCAGCCCTAAAACTATTTTTTTTTTTGGACTTTTAAAATAAGTATTTGAACCCACCAATGAATACAAATCACATATCAACTTCCTCATAAATTACATTTAATACGAATACCCTCAAGTTCTCTTTATAAGCAATCTAGGTAATCTAAAGTAACTCACTTTGGGGAATGAGTTACACTATATACACACTATGAATTAAAATAACATTTAAGAGTGTCACTTTCAAAAATGTGCTTTAAACACCAAAACATTTACAAGTTTAACAAATATTTCTTGAAAAGATCATTAAGACTTAAAGCCACAGTAACATTAAAACTGTAGTTTTAAATAAAAATAGTAAAACAAGTCTCATCCAAATCCTGTGTCCATATCAGCCCTGAAGCCCTCTGGGCCACCGCCCACATTCCCATTGCACCTCTCCAGCAAATGGAAATAGCCAAGGCTTTGACTCGTGACTCTTCTAATTTAGCCATCCTGGGAACAGCTTGTAAAGCACACTAGTATAGGTCAAAACATGGGCGAGGCTGAGCTAATCAGCAACTGACAGCAGCAGCATAAACAAGTTAAACTATAGGCTCTGAACAACCATGACACTCTCAGAGACTGGCTGAAACACCCGTGTGCCCTGGAACCCAGTGAATCATTCTTCCATAAAGACTTCATTGGAGGGAAATGATAAAATGTGTAGAAGTTGTTCCCAATATTAGTTAATAAATAACTTTTAAAGACAGGCACGATAAAAGCAACAACAATGTTCTAGGTGTTTTTATACAAAATCTCACTTAGCCCACACGAGAATTCTGTACAGTAGCCTTTATCCCCTCTTTGCAGATTGGTAAACAGAGTTAATGGATTTAAACACAATAGCTATAAACAAAATTTCCGGGAATAACACTGGAAAATTACAGCATATATGCAACAGACAAAACACGACCCAAGTACCAAAACCATTTTTCCCAAAACCACAAAACAAGCTTTTAGACTACGTGTCTCTTAACATGTACTAGAAAGGCAAGCTCTTGTTTGAGTGTCCAAACTATTCAAATACTGCCTTCATCTTTCTAGTCTTCTGTCTAAAATTTGTTTTCCAAAAACTAGGCATCAGCATTTTTTTAAAAAAATTAAATTCTGCTGGTCATTGAAAAAGCTGGAGCTCTGGAACCATCTACAACATTATTAACACTAACTTGACCTTCATCCCACAACTTGGCAAGCAAAGCCTTTAAAAAGAAGCAAATAGCTGTCAGCAAAACAAAATAATCCTTAACTTTTTAACACAAGGAGTTTTAAGAGTATATTGAATTT